TTAGCGGGCATGGGCTCTCGCCCCCCGTTCGTTCGATGCTATGCATTTCATGTGCTCGACACGCACGACTCTTGCGCTCTGCGTCAGACTCTCTCCGTCGCTCGATCAGGGTGTTGAGGCCTACGCGGTGCCAACGTCCTGAAGGAATGCTACCTGGTTGATCCTACCAGTAGTCATATGCTTGTCTCAAAGATTAAGCCATGCATGTGTAAGTATGAACTAATTCAGACTGTGAAACTGTAAATGGCTCATTAAATCAATTATAGTTTGCTTGATGGTATCTACTACTCGGATAACCATAGTAATTCTTGAGCTAATAGTGCAACAAACCCTGACTTCTGGAAGGGATGCATTTATTAGATAAAATGCCGATACGGGCTATGCTCGTTGCTCTGATGATTCATGATAACTTGACGGATCGCACGACCTTTGTGCCGGTGACGCATCATTCAAATTTCTACCCTATCAACTTTCGATGGTAGAATAGTGGCCTACTATGGTGGTGACGGGTGATGGAGAATTAGGGTTCGATTCTGGAGAGGGAGCTTGAGAAACGGCTACCACATCCAAGGAAGGCAACAGGCACGCAAATTACCCAATCCTGACACGGGGAGGTAGTGACAATAAATAACAATACTGGGCTCCATGAGTCTGGTAATTGGAATGAGTACAATCTAAATCCCTTAACGAGGATCCATTGGAGGGCAAGTTTGGTGCCAGTAGCCACGGTAATTCCAGCTCCAATAGCGTATATTTAAGTTGTTGCAGTTAAAAAGCTCATAGTTGGAACTAGGGTTGGGTCATCCGGTCTGCCTCACGGTAAGCACCGATCTACTCGTCGTTATTGTCGGTGATGCACTCCTAGACTTAATTACCCGGGTCATTCCTCCGATGCTATTACTTTGAAGAAATTAGAGTGCTCAAAGCAGGTCTACGCTTGTATACATTAGCATGGGATAACATCATAAGATTTCAGTCTTATTGTGTTGGCCTTCGGGATCGGAGTAATGATTAATAGGGACAGTCGAGGGCATTCATATTTCATAGTCAGAGGTGAAATTCTTGGCTTTATGAAAGATGAACAACTGCGAAAGCATTTGCCAAGGATGTTTTCATTAATCAAGAATGAAAGTTGAGGGCTCGAAGACGATCAGATACCATCCTAGTCTCAACCATAAATGATGTCAACCAGGGATCAGTGGATGTTACTTTTAGGACTCCGTCGGCACCTTCTGAGAAATCAAAGTCTTTGGGTTCAGGGGGAGTATGGTCACAAGGCTGAAACTTAAAGGAATTGATGGAAGGGCACCACCAGGAGTGGAGCTTGTAGCTTAATTTGACTCAACACGGGGAAACTTACCAGGTCCAGACATAGTAAGGATTGACAGACTGGGAGCTCTTTCTTGATTTTATGGGTGGTGATGCATGGCCGTTCTTAGTTGGTGGAGCAATTTGTTAATTCTATTAACGAACGAGACCTCATCCTGCTAACTAGCTTCTTAAAGGGACTATGGCCACTTAAGCCAAGGAAGTTTGAGGTAATAACAGGTCTGCGATGCCCTTAGATGTTTTGGGCCACACGCGCACTACACTGATGTATTCAACGAGTCTATAGCCTTGGCCGACAGGCCCGAGTAATCTTTGAAATTTCATCATGATGGGGATAGATCATTGCAATTGTTGGTCTTCAACGAGGAATTCCTAGTAAGCGTGAGTCATCAGCTCACATTGACTACGTCCCTACCCTTTGTACACGTCACCCATCGTTCCTATCGATTGAATGGTCTAGTGAAGTGTTCTGATCGCAGTGACATGGACGATCTGCCGCCCATGATGTCGCGGGAAGTCCACTGAACTTTATCATTTAGAGGAAGGAGAAGTCGTAAAAAGGTTTTTGTAGGTGAACCTGCGAAAGGATCATTGTTGAAACCCCACTCGATGGATGACCCGCAGATACGTTAATGAAACACCGAGGGGGTGAGGGTGCCACCGCACCCCGAGCCCCCTTTAACCTCGGGCGAGTGCGACAATCGCTCCGTCCCCCCTACGGGGCTGGCAAAATGATCGGCATCGTCTCGCCCGCCGCTGAACAACGAACCCCCGACATGAATCGTGCCAAAGAACCAAAATGAAAATGGAGCGCGCGCGTCATCTCCATTTATCGTGAAAAAAATTGAACGACTCTCGACAACGGATATCTCGGCTCTCGCATTGATGTGGTATGAATTACAGAATCTCGTGAACCATCGAGTCTTTGAATGCAAGTTACACCCCAAGCCATTAAGCTGAGGGCATGCTTACCTAGGTGTCATACACCGTCGCCGCCCTCCGACCCCCCCACCTATCGAGCTCTAAGGGAAGGGGGCGGGTGGAATATGGCCTCTCGTGATCCCGTGGGTCACGGTTGGCCCAAAAGTGAGTCCCCGGCAATGACAGCGTCGTGACCATCGGTGGTAGAGCTCTTGGTGTGCCTCGTCCCTGGTGACACTCTTGTTGTCCACCCGAACCCCTTCAGACCCCCCGCATCGCTCGGTTAATGCTCGCGTCGTGACCTCAGGTCAGGCGGGATCACCTGCTGAGTTTAAGCATATCAATAAGCGGAGGAAAAAAAACTTACCAACATTCCCCTAGTAATGGCGAGTCGGGAAGAGCCCAGCTTGAGAATCGGGCACCTCCAACATCCGAATTGTAGTCTAAAGAAGCATTCTCAGCGGTGAACCGGGCCCAAGTCCCCTAGAAAAAAGTGCCGGAGAAGGTGAGAGCCCCATTGTATCTAGACCCTGTCACACCAAGAGGCGCTGTCCGCGAGTCGGGTTGTTTGGGAATGTAGCCCCAATCGGGTGGTAAATTCCATCCAAGGCTGAATACGGGCGAGAGACCAATAGCGAACAAGTATCGCGAGGGAAAGATGAAAAGGACTTTGAAAAGAGAGTCAAAGAGTGCTTGAAATTATCATGAGGGAAGCGGATGGGGGCTGACAGTGCACCCCAATCGGATGTGGAATGGCAAGAGTCGGTCTGTCGATGGGCTCGAGGCATAGACTGACGCAGGACGCAGCGACGGCCCAAGCCTAAGCTTTCGGTGTGCCCATAAAGATATTGTCACCATGATCATGGAACGCAGTAGGCACCGTCTCGATGTGCCCCGACACCGACATGCTCCAGGCGTCGGCCTGCGGGCTCCCCATCCAGCCCGTCTTGAAACACAGACCAAGGAGTCT